TACTAGCTGACCCGGCAAACGCTGTTTTGCCATCAAAAATATTTTGCCGCATTGCAGAAATGCTTATAATATACATGATATAATAATGATAATGTTATATTTTTATTACACAAATTTCTTTACATTTTGATATTTAATTCGAACGCATCATAGTGCTTTGTTTATTTTAATTTTATTTATGTCATTGAATTATTTTCATTGAAATCAAGTGAAACATAAATATATTTATTCGATATTTATATAAAACATACAATTAAAATATGCATTAAAATAATATGTCATTTTATAAATAGTATTTATTACTTTGGTGCTTGATATGGGTATGAATTTGTAATAAAATATATTCTTTCTGACAAATAGTTAAAAACTTATTATAATTTTCAAAATTATTTGACATTTCATACTTCAAACTCGCATCATAGCGTTGTTTATTATACTTTTGTCATGTCAAATACGTCAATATTTATTTTTTATAAATTAATAATTATTTTAAGTCATCAATGAATATATTATATGATTGTTAAATTCATAAAAAAGTGCAAATTCAACACAGGAATATTGTTGAAATAAATATTTTTTTACGTAAAGATCTGATTTTTGACATTTGCATTTCATTTCAAATTAATTATAACTGTCAAAATATTTTCTTTTCGGTCAAAATTTAATATAATATGATATAATATTTAGTTTGTCTAGTTTGTTTTTGTCAGATTCCAATGATACCCTCAGATTGTACTATTCCATTTAAGAGGTTACAATTTTCTGTATGATTAACGTTTGCGATGGCAATCAAAATTTATCTCAACTCATATAATAATAATATTTTATTTTAATTACACAAATTTCTTTACACTTCGATAATTAATTCGAACGCATGATGCAGGTGTTTTGTTTATTTTAATTTTGTTTATGTCAATTTTTTTTAAAATTAATGAATAAATCAGGTTTCAGTCTAAATTAACAAATCAGTATCTTTATCTGAATATACAATTTTTTATATAAATATTTGATTTTTTACATTTTCATTTAATTGAAAAACAGTGAATGTCAATTTCATATATTCAATATGCAGTATATTTGTAAATGTCAAAATATTTCCTTTTTGGTCGAAAATTAATATATGATATTTATTTTATAATATTGTGTTGTATCTATAATTTGTTCGGCAATATAACTTGGAATAATTAATTTATTTGTTTCTTATTGAAGTCGTTAAACATTTTTTTGTGAAATGTCAAATTTTTGTTTATGATTAATTTTAAATTCAATATGTCGCTTTTTTATTGTGATCTCTGATCTATAAGGTTTTGATGAAGTTTTGGTATCCGAAATAATTTGGTAAGCTAATGAAATAAATATAAATTGTAAATATATTTATATAATTATTTTCATAAATATTGACAAATGACATTTGACGATTTTCATGTCAACATTAATTCAAATTTATAAACATTGACTTTTAATTAGATTTAAAACTATAAATTGTGATTTTAAATATAGCATTTCATCTAATTTGGATATAAATGCTGGGTATATCTATATATGTATATGTTTTTGAATTAAATTTTTTGAACTGTCAAATTTTTTTTTAAAAAATCATAAATCTTTTTTTCTCGAGTTTTCCATAAATTTTGACATTTGTCATTTTAGTGTTTTGTTTTTTTTTTTTGGCGATTTTCTGTCAAAATTTTTAGAAATTTATAAAAATTATATATTTATATTTTAAATTTACTTTTCAAAATTTCCTATAACCTAAGTTGGATATATATGCACACAATGAGCCAATAAAATTTAGTAGTGTGGGCGTCCATCGCGAACCAACATCGTGACACGAGATTTATTATATATATATATATATATATATATATATAGATATATTATATATATCCACGATTTGCAATGAATTGTATTAAAAATGAGTAAATCTACTTCGACTTATTCATATTTTATGGTTTTAAATTAAGAAATTATTTAAAATGTATGTATACAAAAATTAAAAAAAAAATTAAAATGTATAAGTACAAGAAAACATAAAAATAAAAATAATTATAAGTCAAAATTAATAATTTAAAAGTACAATTACTACTTTGTTTTGAAAATCAAACATAAAATTTTTGTGTTTAAACATTGTAATACATGAACTATAGAAAGGATTTTTTTATGACTGAATTCAACAGAGAAAGAACATAGTACTTTGGGGTTAAAAATAATTATTTCATAACCTAACATTAACAATCAATTTTTCACGTGTTTTCTCAACAATCAAATCCTTTTTAATACTTTTTGAAAACTTCATATTCGTCATATACTCGCTGGCCCCTTTTGGTGAAGAAACTCTTTTAAAATATGCATAAATTTGGAATGAAATAAAAACAATTTAATTTCAATAAGGTATTTATTAATTAAAATCTTTTCTTCGTGATTTCTGTTCTGCAAAAGTGTCTATGACATCATCAAAATTTAATGAACAAGCCATAGTATTTTCAATAGTATTTTCAAAACTTAATAAAAAGTTGGTTTTCTATTAGTCATTATTAGCCCCGTGGCCTGGCAAAATAAAACTCTTTAAAATAATAATCTTACATTCCTCGCGTACTTTTTTAACGACATTGAATTTGGTTGAACGAAGTTTTCATGATTAATTAGTTTTTCATGATCTTTTAATATTATTAATGTTTCTTACGGATATTGGGGGCCTCCTGGTTTGGGGGCCCCGTATATTTGATACGGCTGATACGACGGTAGTTACGCCCCTGATTCTTACGAAAACATTCTTTTCAAGTAAAATAAAGTATTAGAATATAATGTAAAAATATTTCTGAGCGTGCGTCCTTTTGGGCCGGGGCCCCTTAAACCGGGGGCCAGTGGCATTTTGCCGCCCACGCCACCCTATAGTTACACCACTGATTAAAATCAGAATTATTTTCGATATTCAGAAACAATGTAATAATTTTTTTTTCTTCAAAAAGCAATTGTTTCATCAACACAAGCACAAAGTTTTTTGAATCATTCATTTGAATCATTGGATGCTTAAAAACAGCCGTTTGTTATACATTTATCTCTGTATTTTCGTAATGCCTGGACCTACCTTTGCCAAAAACCACTTCTCCAAATCATTACAATTTGAATGTTTTTTAGATCATTCAAATGGGATGCTCCGTTCTCTCAAAAATTCGATTTCTATTTTCTGCACCCTTTGCTCTTTATCTCCGTAACGACTGGACTTGTATTTACCAAAAACTAATCAGCACATCTGCCAGGAGGAATCGAATATTTTTTAAACCATTTAAATTGATTGATTGTGCACCCAAAAACGTGAACGAAAAAATGCGGTCACACAAAACACACACACGCACACACATTCTGAGGTATGCCAAAATGTTCAGAAACCGTCAAAACGTAAAGTCAGGTAAATATTTTCATTTTCGATTTTTAACTTCCCGTAGGGCGCATGGCATCGTGCCTTAAGGGGTTACACCACTGTAGCAGTAAATAAAACTTATATTTTTGCCATTTTTTTTTTGGACGGAAGGAATAGTATTAAAATGATGATATTAAAGATAGTTATTTATTGTACTTTAAAGTAACAAAATAAAATATAATTGTAAAAAAAAAAATTAAAAATGACTGTACTACAGACTATTACAAATGGCTTGTAATTTGTTAATAATTGATAAACAAATCAACATATAGAAAATCTCCTATGATGGGCACTTAAAAATGTAATTATAAATATACTGTAAAAAAATTATAGCGAAACAAATTCAAATTGTTGTAGTTATTTTGCATGCCGCGGATTTTTGACTAATTTTGACTAATAAATATAATACTTTTCCTTCCGTCCGAAAAAAAATGGCAAAAGCATACGTTTTTCTTACTGCTACAGTGGTGTAACCCCTTAAGGCAAATTGCTGGAACTTTCCGTAGCAAAAATTTTTATTTTTCTTAAAGCTTAACCTTTTTGGAAAAAATTTACTTTGAAAAAATTAGAATGTTGAGAAACTATAGATTATTAACAAAAAATTCCTTTTTTTCTTTGAAAAAAAAAGGCTTTTTGAAAAAAATGTTTTCCTTATTTTGTAATAATTTGGAAATTCTGAACTTTTTTTCCAAGCAATCGTACTGCTTTAACTGCATAGAGATGAATATCGAAGCGCGTAAGCGCCGCGTCGCCGTCTGACGAATAAACATAGGCTCAAAAAAAAGGAATTTTTTGTCAAACATGTATAGTTTCTCAAAAATCTAATTTTTTCAAAGTAAAATTTTTTCCAAAAAGAAATAAAAAAAATATAATTTTTGCTACGGGAAGTTCCAGCAATTTGCCTTAAGATAAGGCACGATGCCATGCGCCCCACTACTTTGCGATTACTTTAACTTACCCTACGGGAAGTTAATAAATTTTAAATCAATGTATTTTATTTATACAATGTTTATTTTGCAGCATTTTATATTTTAGGGTGTTATATAATCGTATGTTTGCGCCAGAACCTGTTAGATGGCGCCAGAGAATATTTTTAATATTCAGACAACACTTTTATCTGGCAATCCTCAATTTGGATGTGATAGCTGATCTGACGGGTGAACAAGCTCTCTCGCGTTGGCTGGTCACGTACACCGTTTTACTTGTACTTTCCATATGTGTTTTTGTGATATATTTCGATCATTAGTTATTACTTAATGAAATAAATACCTTTTAATCAGTGCAAGTGTTACTTATTTGTGTTTTGAAGTTCATTTCTTCCTCAGAATCCGAATTTAAAGCGAACTGAGATATCCGAACTCGAAGCCGCCATCCGACTGGACCGCCGAGCACGTAGAAAACGTCGAATATTTTACTTAATATATTCAATAATATCAATTCCTCGGAATAGTTATTGAGTCCAATTCAATTAGCTATTCCGAAAGGGTCTAACCAACCCCCATCCGTAACATTGGTCCTTCGAGCCGGATCCTAATTTTGATTAGGATTTATTGAATATATTAAGGAAATAAAATCCAAGATGGCACCTAAATTTGACGTGGGTGCAGAGATTAACCGAATGACAGCGAAGAGCGAAATGTATTTTTCAATAATACAAGAAACGTATGACATTTCCCTACAAATTACCACCAATACGGCAAGTAAGTTAAAATTTCTTGAAAAATTACACCTTATTGAAAATGCACGAGAACAATGCATAAAATTAAGCGACGAAATAAACAAATTAAGATATTTAGAGGATCCGAGTTTTGTACCTGAGTATGCCGACATGAGGGCCTTGGAAATTTTGTACGGAAAAATCAAACATATAGAAAAAATGTTGGATAATCAAAATATAAGTAATTCGCCAATACCGGACAGTGTTCCAAATCATCATTTACCATCCATAGAAGTTCCAAAATTTTCCGATTAGATAACGTATCCAAATTTCATTTTTTAAAAGGTGCGTTAGAAGGTTCGGTATTAAAAATTTTTAATTCCATACTACCAACTGCAAATAATTATCCGATTTTATGGGAAGCACTATTAAAAAAATACCAGAATAAAAGATATTTAGCCACCACTTACTTTAAACAGCTCTTATCGTTTAAAACTATTACATTATCACAAATAGACCTATTTCTGGAACAATTCGATACAGCTGTACAAGCCCTTTCACAATTAAATCTTCAAGATGCATTTGACTTTATGATAACGTCTATGGCATTCTCAAAACTCGATCCCATTTTGCAGGAGAAATTTGAGCATTCTTATCAAGGAGAATTTCCTAAATACCAAGATCTCCTCAAATTTCTTCATAAGTCGCAACAAGCGAAAAATCAAGTTTATGGTATGACAAGTATAACTAACAATTACACATATGATAAGCAAAAGGATAAAAATTCCAAAATTAGTCGATCATTTCTTTTAAAAAGTAAATACGAAAAGAAGTGCTTTGTGTGCCGGGAACAACACGCCATATTTGCATGTTCAAAATTACTAGAAATGAACATTCCTGAACGGCAAGAATGTATAAAAAATTAAACCTATGTGTGAATTGTTTAAGCCATAAGACGACAGTTGCGTGTCGATCGAAGAAAACTTGTATTATATGTAAGGCACCGCATCATACGAGTACATTGTTGCATACTGATAAGAATCTTGCAAATACGAATCAAGATAATCCGTCGAATTCGAAATCTAATAACACAGTTTTATGCGTTTTCAACAACAACCAGCTGGCACATAATGTAACCATATTGCCTACTGCAGTAACCAAAGTTTTCACCGAAAATGAAAATATTTTATTACGTACGATAATTGATTCAGCAAGCGCTAGAAATTTTGTCACATTAACTTGGTGCTTAAAAGCTCAGTTACCAATTAAACCAGTTTCAGCCAAAGCGATGGGATTAGGTAATTCATCACAAATCGTGATAGGATTGGTTAATTTTACTTTAATTTCTTTAGTCAATTCATACCAGTTGTCGGTATGTGCATATGTCGTGCACAAGATCGTGGGAAAACAACCACAAACCACCATTCCAGTTTCATCAATACAAACGTTCTTAAAGTACCCTTTAGCAGATCCAAACTTTTATTCACCACAAGAGGTCGATGGTATCTTGGGATGTGATGTTTTCAGCGAAATTATAGGTACTCACCAGGTAAAAAATGATCAAGGAGCTCCAACAGCATTAGAAACGCAGTTGGGATACATAATAATAGGTTCTGTTCCCAATTTATCCCAACCTTCAAGCACATCGACTAATTTATGCAATATTTCGAACCCAGATCTTAACGTTCAAATGGATAAGTTTTTTCAGTTAGAAGATATTCCACAAGCAGCACTTCCTTACGACGATGATTATTGTGAAAATCATTTTATTGCAACAACAAAACGATCTCCAGAGGGGCGATACATAGTAGCCCTACCTTTTAAAAGTAAAGGAAAAAAAATTTATCAAAATCCTTTACTTTAGCATTAAAGCGTTACCACATGCTAGAAAACAAATTTTTGAGAGATCCAGAATATTATAAAAAATATTCCGCAGTTATAAACGATTATTTGACACAAAACCATTTATCCTTTGTTGCTCCTTGTTCTCTGAAGAATAAAGTTAATGATTCTAGTCACATAGAAAATGCATATTATATTCCTCATTTTGCAGTCGAGAAAGAAAGCTCCTCCACTCCATTACGCGTTGTGTTTGATGCATCTGCAAAAAATGCAGAATTTACCTCGCTAAACGAAAATTTACATGTGGGTCCAAAACTACAAACAAACATTTGTTCGATTCTATTAAATTTTCGTATGGGACGGATAGCATTAATGGCGGATATCAAACAAATGTATAGAAATATATGGGTTCGCGAACAGGATCGAAAATACCAAAGGATATTATGGAGACCATCACCCGATGTACCTATTGGAATCTATGAACTAAATACAGTTACATTTGGCTTATCATCATCTCCATTTCAAGCCATTAGAACAATTAAACAACTGTCGCGAGATGAACGTTCCAAATTCTCTGAATCACTTATAAAAATACTTGAAAACGATATTTACATTGATGACGTGGTTACAAGTGTTGATTCTTTGGAAAATACAAAAATCATTGTTCGTGATCGACAGATCGTATTTGCATCTGGGGGTTTTGAATTTAAAAAAATGGGAATCTAATCATTCTAGCATACGGAACCTATTTCCTACATCTGATATTCAAACTAAACATTTCCCTAAGGATTTTGAAATCGATAATTCAACCAAGGTATTGGGATTAAAATGGAATCCTTTATCGGATAATTTTTCATTTGACATAAAACTTATGTGGAAAAGGTGGACCAAACGACATCTCCTTTCAGTAATAGCACGAATCTGGGACCCTCTGGGTTTCCTTACTCCCATAGTTATTAAGATAAAAATATTAATGAAGAAAATTTGGACCTTGAAAATTGATTGGGACGAAGAATTGCCATCATTCATTATTACTTCGTGGTTAGCAATTTATTCCGAATTAGAGCTTCTTAATAATTTTGAGATACCACGTTATTTGAAAACTTCAGAACGAGGTAAATGTACCTTATTTGGTTTTGCAGATAGTTCCGAACAAGCATATGGAGCTGTAGTTTACATTAGATCACTTAACACTCAGAATTTCATGCTAATATCAAAGTCGAGAGTAACACCAATGAAAAATCAAACTTTAGCACGATTGGAACTTTGTGCATGTCATTTATTATCTAAATTATTACATTTTGTATTAACAAACAATAAACATATATAGATTTTAATTCCGTTTATTGTTTTAATGACTCAATGATAGTCTTCACTGGTTGGCAGGTCCAGCCAATCGTTGGAAAACGTTTGTAGCTAACCGAGTATCCAAAATTCACGACCTTCTTCCGAATGCACAGTGGCTTCATATTCCGTCCGATCAAAATGCAGCTGATTGTGTTTCCCGCGGCTTACGACCTAAGCAATTTATGCAACATAAAAAATGGTTGTTCGGACCGGATTGGTTAAACGATGACATATCTTCTTGGCCCAGTAAACGGATTGATACTTCTATAGAAATCAATCAAGAAAGAAAGGTTAATGCTCTAGTGGTAAAGAATGTTATTTCACCAATCAATTCCTTATATATGTTAACACAAAAATTTTCCAATTGGAACAAACTTATAAGGATTTTCGCGTATATATTAAAATTTTGTAAAATTATCACTAATCAAAATCGTTTTTTGACTTCTGATTTAAAACAAGCCGAGGTAGTAATTATTCGACTAATCCAAGAACATCATTTTGCCGAGGAATTTAAATTATTAAAGAATGGGTTGTCCTGCTCAAAGAAATTCCGACGACTAAATTTAGCTTTGGATGCAAATAATTGTTTACGCGTTAATGGGCGATTAAGATTAACTACGAATGAAAACCCATTTCTTCTTCCTAAAAAAGACCAAGTAGTAAATTGTCTAATAGATTACTACCATAAAAAACAATTTACATACTGGCTCAAATTTAGTTTTATCTTTATTAAGACAAAAATATTGGATCTTGTCAGCGCGGGCGATGATTCGTAACCGTCTTCACAAATGTATCACATGTTTTAGACATAATCCTAGATCCAATTTTCCATTTATGGGTAATTTACCAACACCACGTATTCAAGCAAGTAGGGCCTTTAGAAATGTCGGCGTAGATTATGCAGCCCGTTCAATGTCTCAATGAGTCGCCACAGAGGCGTTCGAACATACAAGGCTTATATATACCTTTTTATTTGTTTAGCTACCAAAAACTATACACCTCGAGCTAGCTTCTGATTTGACAAGTGATACGTTCTAGATT